TGATGATCCACCTTATTAACCCCAGTTCATTTGATTAAGCATCAACGACTGCCCAACACAACTTTTAGTGTCCCACTGTCCCCTGATCAGATTTAGGATTCGGTCGGTTCTTGCATCCGTACCAGTTGTGTCGGGCAGTCGTTGATGCTTAATCATTACTAACTGGGGTTAATAAGGTGGGCCATCGCATATAGTATCATTGGGTACGGGACTCTGGAGACTGTAGAGGGTGGTTAAGCCGCCTCCTGACGAGTCAGTCGATGAAACTCCAATGAAACAGTCTGTCTATCACAGTCCCTCGTCTGTTGTCCGACGGGGACAACAAACTCTACAGTGCCCAGAGTCCCCTACCCATGCAAGAACCAAGTCCTGAATCTGGTCACGTGACACGAAGCTCTACACCGAACAGTCTCTAAAAAGAAAAAGAATGATGAAACTCGAAGCCGACTATCACTCGGGCACACCAGACGGAAAACTCTACATCATAAGCCAAAAAATTCGGCAGAAAATTGGCAGCATGTACAATCTGAAAAATGTTCTATTGACTTGTTTCCATTTCGTGAAAAAAAAAAAAAAAAGAAAGAAGAAAGGCCTGTCGCAGCCAGAAAATAGTAAAATACACTCCACACACACACGCCGCTGGCCGTAGAGAGGCACACCATGGCAGCTAGCGAAATCGTGGTACATATCGCCATAAGAACTGCCCGGGGAACAGCAGACAGAGAGGGAGACATATATATAAAGTTTATAAACATAGTCTGTCCCGGGACCACTTGCCCTGCCGGGCCAAATTTAAAAAAAAAAAAAAAAAAAAAAAAAAAAAAAAGTTTATTTATAATAATTTGGCGAAATTTTTCAATCCGACCCTGAGGCAAAAGTTGTCCAATTTATTTTTCTGCACAACATAGTTTTTTTGGGGCGGGGATTTTCTGGATTTTATTTTTTTAACGGGGACCTTCCCTGGCCCATGCTCGGCCAGGCTGTCTGGGCAATCATAACATACATTTATAAATTATAGTACAGGGATTTTCTGGATTTTTTTTTTTACAGGTGACCCCGCCAGCCTGGTTGGTAACACAACATACATATATAAATTATAATAATATAATAATATATCACCATGTATATGAAATCATGAATAGAGTAGAGACAGAGACAGAGAGAGACAGAGAGAGAGAGAGAGAGAGCCGCGCACCTGTACTCGAGGACTGACAAGAAGCACCCTTGCGACTTTGCTTGTCATGACCTTTCCTTCTCACTGCGCGCCAATGGACCGTAGGTATTCTTAAGATTTCGTTTCGCCCAGTAAACCCACTCGACTTCGTTTCAACTTGAAGGGCGGAATTTTTACCCAGCGCAAGTGTCCGCCGCGCAAGTGGGTTCACACAGCAGCGGAGATCAAGCGCTGCCCTTGGCGAGTGCGAGCACAGCAGTACCTTCTCATTCATTGGCACGCAATGAGAAGGCACTGCTGTGCTCGTTCTCTCCCACGGAGCACAGCAGTACCTTGTCGTTCTCCCCATCATAATGAAAGGTGTCCCCCGCGATGACTCCTGGGCTGCTCCATCGACAGATCCCTGCAGGGTCACCAAAAAAATGAGAAGAAGAAGACGACGACGACGACGAAGAAGAAGAAGAAGAAGAAGAAGAAGAAGAAGAAGACGAAGTAGACGAAGAAGAAGAAGAGGAAGAAGACGAAGTAGACGAAGTAGACAAAGAAGAAGAAGAAGAAGAAGAAGAAGAAGAAGACGAAGTAGACGAAGATGACGAAGAAGAAGAAGAAGAAGAAGAAGAAGAAGAAGAAGAAGAAGAAGAAGAAGAAAAAGAAGAAATAAGTCCTCTGGAATTTCTTTCTTCACTTGTATGGAAACAGGACAGGGTAGGGTCGCCACAAAAATGAGAAAAGGGGGAAGGACAACAAAAAAAAAAAAAAAAAAAAAAAAGAAGAGTCCTTTGTTAGGCAACCAGAGTGGCAGCTAAGTGAATCTGTACATCTAGCCCCCCAACAGCTGAGGTTACAGGATGGCGTTACCATCCCAGCATGATCCCAACGTCCTCCACCGCGCAAGCAAGCACGGATTCGAACCGGCGACCTCGGCCTCAAGAAGAGCCAAGGCTCCTCTTAACCACTACAGCCAGGAAGGACATGGTGTTCAAAAAAAAAAAGTGGAACCATACCGGCCGTGATATCCAACCCAACTCCACCCCTGCAAGCAAGGCTGTAGTGTCCAAATCAACACACAACACCACACGGACGCGGCAAATTTTTTATTATTATTATTATTTTATTTTTTTTTGGGGTACGCGGCAATTCTCGCACACGTCGCTCTTTTGCCATTCAGCACAGATCCTTATCACTGGTACTCTCTCCAGGCGGGGCCAAAAAAAAATTAAAAAAAAAAATCGATGTGACCCTGAGGCAAAAGTTGTTCACTTTATTTTTCTGCACAATATAGTTTTTTTCTTTCGTATTTTTTGGATTAAAAAAAAATATATGGGACCCTCTCGTGGTCCTTGCACGGCCGGGCCGCCCGGGAAAACAGAGTGACTAGTTCCTCTGGAATTTCTTTCTTCACTTGTATCATTGTTGTATGTCAACAGCCTTGGCAACTGGACCCGTATTAAAAAAAAAAAAAAAAAAAAAAAAGGAGCAGCAAAATTAAAAGGAGGTAAATAAATTTTACTCCGTTCCAAAAGAAGCAAGTTATGCCTAATTGGGTCATAATTTTTTTTCTCCTTGATGCACTATCTGACGTTTTTTTTTTTTTTATTATTTTTTTTGTCTCCTCTCGTGATTTTTTAACGAGCTTTTTCATTTTCTTCCCTACTGCCGCAGTTCAAAACCCTTCCACGAGATCACATATGGTGCATTTTTGACGATATTCGAGAGAGTGTCCGATGTCCGTGTGACCATAACCAACTCTCAGGGGCTGGGAGTGGCACGAACTTTTGATCTGATTAGAGAGTGTGTGGGCGTGCACTTCGAGGGCACGCATGGGGTTTAGGTGAACATTGAATATGTTTATGAGAACGGTGTCTGCATGTAATAACGTGAGCTAGAAAAGGAGTGTGAAGAAACTGCAGTAGTGCACGCAGTGCGCGTTTACGTTCGAGATTGGTAGTTGATGATCAAGGCTAAGATTCAGTTATTGGACCCGTTGACTTACGTGCGACGGGATTAGGACCAGTGAGGTGCAAGGTGCTTGACTTCTTAGGCCGACTATGATATCAGTTAGAGGTAGAAGCCGCGGGCAACACTATAAAAGTTGGAATTTGTCTGACGTCGGGGTGGTAAAAGTGCGGCCTTTTGGAAGGTAGCTTAGTGAGAAAATTGAAGCTTTTGGATAAACGTCGCGGTTGTGCCGCATGCACGACGGCGGCAAGGGAAACTGACCGCTTCATGCAGCAGCGGAACGGATACATGGGGGTCGTGGACATGGCCTGTGAGCCAAAGAACGGTTTTTAATGTTGTTAAACAGGCATTGGAGCAGCACGGATACCCTTTATGAGGAAGTCCGTGCCTGCTACACCTAAGCTTGGGCCAAGCCCTATAGGTTATGACTTTGGACTAATACTACGAAGATCCGGGGATCGAGGCCAGTAGTTGGCAACGAAGGAGCGCAAGAGCGTCTTATGAAGAAAACTGAGGGGTTGAGGTTCCCGCGGGACTATCCCTTTTAGTTTTGTTGGGGAATCCGATTGCATGTCCAACTGGTAGAACCGAGGGAGTACCAGTGGGTCCCTCCTTCCCTCCTCATCGGTGTCTTTTTCTTTACTTTTATTTATTAGTATTATTTTAGTATTTTATTGTTATTATTTTGGTCCGGTCCGATACCGGTCCGGTTCCGAAGCCGATATGGGTTCCAAGAGCATAGCTCGGTAGGTACATCGTTGAACTGTTGAAGCACAGACCCGTGTTTGAATTCAGATGATGGAACTTGACAAGTAAACTGAGTTGCTCAGGGCCGGTCGACCTGATACCGATATCTCCAGCCATTGTCCCTGGCGTAGTACTTCGGGACGTTCATTAAAATTGGAATGATTTAAGGGAGATTAGGGTGATCCCTAGGCGGAAGTAGTAAGCCTACAGAGCCTGAATCTGATGTCGAGAACGGGGGAAGATTCGGGCGAGGCAGTTATTGCGAGCGAACCAGCTGAACATTCCTATAGTCGTTGGGAGGCCTGCCCGGGCCACTATAAGACAGTGGGGATGATGATGATAAGGCTTGGCTGGTAGTAAGAGTTCATTTTCGGATTAGATCGAGAGCTGTGAGGAACTAAGGTAGGTAAACTAACCACGGATAACGCGTTCAAGAGGGAAGAAAGAGAGAAAGTTGAAACAGACAGCAGGGGATTGACGAGGAAGAAGATGAGGGTGACTGCAAGGTTGACGATAAAGGAGAGAGGGAGTTGAACATTTACTGCGAGGGAACCGGCTACGCGGATTGGATCAAGGATTGAACGACTATGACAAGCTACGCAAGAGTGAAACTTCTCGTGTTTTTAGCGGAAGGTTCACCCTCAATTTGCAAGTCGTAAGCATGATCGGGGTCGCCCCCGAGTCGCTCGTTGTCGCGATTGTCTTGGTCGGGCAGTAGCTTGAAGCAGCGTTACTCCTGCTCGAGACCTCGACTCGACCATCGTGATCGGAGGAATCTTCTTCACCCAGGCAGGCGTTCTCGACGAGAGGATTTCGAGGTGGTCACTGCCATGTCGTCGTTAGTATGACCGGGAGCGAAGGTCGCGGACGAGAGAGAGAAAAAGTACTAAATTGTAACTGTCGAGTGAGCAGGAGCGATGAGCTGTGTTAGATTGTGTGAAAGACTCGCACCTTGCCGTTGAATATTGAACTTCGGAGGCAGGAACTGGCGATGCGAGATAAAGCGAATGTCGAGCTACGGTGCCAAACCGCTCGCTAACCTGGCCAATGTACCAACCAAATTTATATGGGAAAGAGTAGGTACGAGGCAGAGGAGTGCGTGGTCGGCAACGAGAGAAGA